AAGCAATGACAGCAAAAATGTCATTTTTTAAAAATTTCAGATTTCCCGCCGGTTCCGCCGCCCGAACGTTCCGACGTCACAGGGACCGGAACACGGAAGCCAGATGCCGGCATCCGCCGGAGGAGATGGACGGGGACGCTGCAGGGGACCCATCGTGGGAGCGAAGGACAAGATAAATGCTGCAGGGACCCCCAGAGAACGCTGCATGGTAAGCCCGAGTGTAGCTCGGGGTTACCGTTCTTGGTATAGAAATTCTACCCGGAGCTACACTCGGGAATACCGCCAAGGAGGTTAAACAATAGGAAAACATGACACAAATGAAAGACTAATCAACACAAAAGGCACAGTATGGGGGGGAGGGAGGCAGAAGGGCACAGTACAGGGGGAGTCAGAAATGCACAATACTGGGATAAGGGAATAATACATGTTCAGGGACACTTCACAGGCCATCCTGGGACAGCTTAGTAAAAAGTATGACTGTCCCAGCAGCAAATCCAGGACAGTCAGCAAGTATGGTGTAATGCAAGATTGCAATGGGTCCCCATGCACCTAGGGCCCCTGGGCAGTGCCCAGGGCTGCTCTTGCAATAAGACAGCCCTGCCATTTGACACAGGTTTGGGGTAATTTGAGTGGTTATATTTTCATTGTTTTGAGGGCATTTTTATTTGCTGTGCAATCTCTGGAGTTAACCCATTGTACTCTTGGAATCATTGATCGTGTATTAAATTTGATTTGCAAAAAAAATGCATGCATTTTAAAATGTGTGTTTCACATGTTGTTACATGGTTTGCATTAGGTAGCACAGGTTTATATCATTTAACTATGCTAAAATCTGAATTGGCACCTTAGTCTAAGAGAATAAAGTACTCTACCTGCTCCACCTAGAAGATCCTTTAGAAAGCTGGCTACGGGTCGCCCAGACAGCTCCTCGGAATGAGATACAATACCATCTTTCACTGCTCTCCAGCCATTCAGGACAATAAGAGAGAATCTCCAAGCCACACAGTATAGATCTTCCCATAGAGCCTAGAGAGCTATGGTTGAGAGGAGCATAATTTATAGGTACAAGAAATAATAAATATATTTATATAAAGACCCCAGTTCAGGACTTGTATGCAGATATGACACATCTCATTTGTACACAGACAAAAACCTAAACAGTTTAAAGTAGAACTAAAGGCAAATCTTTTTAATCATTTAGGATCGAATAAAGAAGGGTTATAACCCCTGTTGGATACATTTTTGCAATTTGTGTTCTATTGAGGAGATTTACTTTCACTTCTGGTCCCACACAGGGCCGCCTTTAATATTGATTGGGCCTTGGGCAAACATTTTCTTGGGCCCCCCAGTGAAATTTTGCTCTCCACCTGCTCTGAGACATACAATAAATAGCAGCTAGACTCAAAATCAGTTTATTTAGCAGATTAGGCAGCAACTGCAATTGGTTGCCAGAGGTTGCATATCATTACAGCTCACTGACTAGTTAATAGAGGTTACTGCACACATAATGGCTCACTGATTCATTGCTAGAGGTTACTGCACATTATTACCACTCAATGATTTCTGCTAGAGGTTACTACACATCATTACTGCTCACCCATTGGTTGCTAGAGGTTACTGCACATCCTTACCACTCACTGATTGGTTGCTAGAGGCTACTGTATATCATTACCACTCACTGATTGGCTAGAGCTTATTGCACATCATTACTGCTCTCTGATTGGTTGCTAGAGGTTACTGCACATCATTATTGCTCACTGATTGGTTGCTAGAGATTACAGCAGATCATGACTGTTTATTGATTGTCTGCTAGAGGTTACTGCACACCATTGCCGCTCACTGGTTGCTAGAGGTTGCTGCACATTATTACTGCTCACTGATTGGTTGTTATTGGCTACTGTGCATCATCTCCTAGATTGTAAGCTCCAAGGCGCAGGGCCCTCCTATCCCTCTTGTATTGAACTTTATTGTTGCTGTATTGTCTCCCGTTATATTGTAAAGCGCTGAGCAAACTGTTGGTGCTATATAAACCCTGTATAATAATAATAATTACAACTTAATTGATTGCTAGAGGTTACAGCACAACATTACAGCTCACTGATTGGTTGCTGATGGTTACAGCACATCATCTCCTCACTGCCTGCACACCATGGACTGGGAAGATGAGGGGACCCACTAATAGACAGAAACGTTGTAGGGATTCTAGGATTCCTGGAATCAGTAGCAGTGCTGGGGGCAGGGTGTGATCAATGGCAGTGCTGGGGGTTGATGGAATCAGTGGTAGTGGTAGGGGGGATGGGATCAGGTTGAGTGGTGGGGGGATGGGATAAGAGGCAGTGATGGGGGGGGGGATGGGATGAGTGACAGTGCTGGTGGGGAGATGGGATCAGTGGCAGAACTTGGGGGGATGGGATCAGTAAAGGGAAATTTACGCTGACCATCCAATGTAATGGGGAATTTATTTGCACTGACAACCAGTGTAATAAAAAATTTCACTGACAACCAATGTAATGGGGGATTTTACACCATCAACCAATACATTTCTACACTGGGCACCAATGTAAGGTGGAATTTAAAATTACTCTAGTATAAGTGAGTCGGAGATATTATAAGGATACAGTTTCGTATCAATTAGTATGCAAATCTTTTCTTATTTTCATGTTAAGGTGGAATTTACACTGGCCACCAATTTAAGGGAAGCTTCTGCATGGACACTGACCACAAATGAAAGTTAGGATTTTTTACCGACTACCAATATAAAGAGGACTTTCTACAGTGGCCACCTATGTAAAGGGGATTTACACTTCCCACAAATGTAATAGGAGCATTCACAGTGACCAGCAATGTGAGGAGGGATTTACACTGGCCACCAATGTAAGGGGGGCATTCACTATGACCACTATGTGAATGAAAGGATTCTACCCCAAGCCCCAATGTAATGAGAAGATATACAGTTGCAAGAAAAAGTATGTGAACCCCTTGGGATTACGTGGAGTTTTGCATGAATTAGGCATAAAATGTGCTCTGAACGTCATCTAAGTCACAACAATAGAAGAACACAGTCTGCTGAACATAATACCACACAAACATTAGATGTTGCCATGGTTTAACTGTACATAACATGTAAACATTCACAGTGCAGGGAGGAAAAAGTATGTGAACCTTTGGACTTAATAACTGGTTGACCCTCCTTTGGCAGCAATAACCTCAACCAAACATTTCCTGTAGTTGCAGATCAGACCTGCTGTCAGGAATGGACTGGCCAGCAATGGTGGGACTCACCTGCCTTTTGATCTGCAGTACCAGGGCTGGCCAGCGGATGCTCCCAGCAATCAGAGACTCAACTTTGCAGCCAGCTAACACCTGGAACTGATTATGCTGGGGTATTTAAGGGATGGCCAGACCCACAGACTCGGCCTTGGTGTTGTGTTTGTCCTGGGCCCTGTATCCTGTGTCTGTCCTGCATCCTGTTTCTGAACCGCTGCTGACTTCTCCTGCTCTGATCCCGGCTCGCTCTTGACCATCCCTCTGCCTGACCCTCTGTACCACGCTGCTTGCTACCTGTTCTGATCCCTGGCTTGTGACCCTGACCATCCCTCTGCCTGACCCTCTGTACTACGCTGCTTGCTACCTGCTGAACCTGGCCTGTGACCCCGACCAATCTCCGCTTGCTCCCCCTGTACCTACCTGCCCTATTGATATTGACCCGGGCCTGCCTGACGACGCTTGCTTGTATGTACTGTTATCTGTGGGTGGTTGGTTTGGTTTGGTTGCACTGTATTATGTTTTAGTATTGCACTGCGTTTATGTTTGTATTGTTAGTGTTAATAAATTATATTGTTTATAACATATCTGAGGTCTGCGTTTCCCTGCGTCAGCCACACACCTCTGGTCACACCTGGGAGCCCTGACATTACACCAAGGCCAATCCTGACCAGAAGTGGCTGCACAGGGAAGCCATCTTGGCTTGTTGATGGGAAGGATGGATCTTGATGAGGTTGCGTATTTATATCTGCTAGTGTTTGATGACAGAGAGTATGCTTATCAAACTCTGAAGGAGTATACCCGGGATGAACTGCTAGAATGTATACGGCTCGCTCATGTTCTAGTAGATCAGGGCACAGAGTTCTCTGAGGTGCAGCCTTTGATTGAGGTTTGTGCAGAGTTGGTTTCATCTGGTACCCCCGAATGCAGGGATGAATTTTTGCCACCATTTAGTGCAGACCAGGTAGAGTCCCTGGTGTGGTTATTAGAGGATGATGTGGGTTACTTTCTGGAGCGTTATTCCACATGTTCACCACAGACACTAAGAGATTGTATAAACGCAGTGCAGTCATTGACCAGACAGGCTTTGTGTAAGCTCAGCTTTGTTCAACCCATACTGCAGACATGGACAGACTTGTTGCACCCAGCCTCAGTCAGCTTACAAAAACCCAGTCCTGCTTCTAACTCTACTTCTGTATTCCCACCAGCTCCTCCAGTTACAGCCCAGTATACTTGGCTATCTACCGCATGTCAGTCCCCTGTTCCCACTCGCTGCACCTATCCTGCCTTTAACCCTGTAAAAAAGCCCTCTGTAGCAACTGCTCCCTCTCCTGTTCCATCCTCCAGTTCTTCTCTGTCTCCAGCTGCTCCATTCGTTTGCAGACCTGCGTTTACTTGCAGTGCTCCAGTAGTTAAAACCAGAAAAAAGCGAAAATTCTTTCCAACCAATACCATCCTGCCAGTATCCAAACCGGTGAACCTGCCTTCCGTGGTTCAGCCTGATGCCTGTACTCAGCCTGATGCCTGTACTCAGCCTGATGCCTACTCAGCCTGAGCCTCTACTCAGCCTGATGCCTGTACTCAGCCTGATGCCTGTACGCAACCTGATGCCTCTACTCGCCAGCCTGACTCGGCCTGAAGCCTCTACTCAGCCTGAAGCCTCTACTCGGCCTGATGCCTCTACTCGGCCTGAAGCCTCTACTCAGCCGGATGCCTCTACTTCGGCCAGATGAGCCTCTCTTCAGCCTGATGCCTCTACTCAGCCTGATGCCTCTCTTCAGCCGGATGCCTCTCTTCAGCCGGATGCCTCTCTTCAGCCGGATGCCTCTACTCAGCCTGAAGCCTGCATTCAGCCTGATGCCGCTACTCAGCATGATGAACTGATCCAGCCCGACGATCCTATTACGCCAGTTGACTCGATGCCCGCTGTTGATCCAGATGATCCGGTACCTGATCCAGTGCCCGCTGTCGTGCCAATTGACTCAGAGCCCGCTGTCATACCTGGTGACCTGGTGCCCACTGCCTTGCCAGATGACGCGGTGCCCGCTGGCAAGCCAAATGACCTGATGCCTGGTGACCCAGTGCCCGCTGTCATACCTGGTGACCCGATGCCCGCTGTCGAGCCAGACAATCCTATACCTGATGACCCGGTGCCCACTGTCGTGCCTGTTGACTCGGAGCCCACTGTCGTGCCAGACGACTCGGTGCCTGCTGTTCCGCCAGACGACTCGGTGCCCGCAGTCTTGCCAGACGACTCGAAGCCTGCTGTTCCGCCAGTTGGCTCGGTGCCCGCAGTCTTGCCAGACGACTCGGTGCCTGCTGTTCCGCCAGTCGACTCGGTGCCCGCTGTTCCGCCAGTCGACTCGGTGCCCGCAGTCTTGCCAGACGACTCGGTGCCCGCAGTCTTGCCAGACGACTCGGTGCCCGCAGTCTTGCCAGACGACTCGGTGCCCGCAGTCCCGCCAGTTGACTCGGATGCCCGCTGTTCCGCCAGACGACTCGGTGCCCGCAGTCTTGCCAGACGACTCGGTGCCCGCAGTCTTGCCAGACGACTCGGTGCCCGCAGTTCCGCCAGTTGACTTGGTGCCCCTGCTGTTCCGCCAGTTGCCAGACGACTCGGTGCCCGCAGTCTTGCCAAAAGACTCGGTCGGTGCCCGCAGTCCCGCCAGTTGACTCGATGCCCGCTGTTCCGCCAGTTGACTCGATGCCCGCTGTTCCGCCAGTTGACTCGGTGCCCGCAGTCTTGCCCCAGACGACTCGGTGCCCGCAGTCTTGCCAGACGACTCGGTGCCCGCTGTTCCGCCAGTTGACTCGATGCCCGCTGTTCCGCCAGTTGACTCGGTGCCCGCAGTCTTGCCAGACGGACTCGGTGCCCACTGTCGTGCCTGGTGACTCGGTGCCCGCCGCTTCTTCTGGGGGCCCGAGACCTGTTGCTCCGCCTGAGGGCCCGAGACCTGTCGCTCCATCTGGGGGTCCGGCGCCCGCCGCCCCGCCTGGGGGCCCGATGCCTGTCGCCCCGCCTGGGGGCCCGATGCCTGTCGCCCCGCCTGGGGGCCCGAGGCCTGTCGCTCCATCTGGGGGGGTCCGGCCCCGCCCGCCGCTCCGCCTGAGGGCCCGAGACCTGTCGCTCCATCTGGGGGTCCGGCGCCCGCCGCTCCGCCTGAGGGCCCGAGACCTGTCGCTCCATCTGGGGGTCCGGCGCCGCCGCTCCGCCTGAGGGCCCGAGACCTGTCGCTCCATCTGGGGGTCCGGCGCCCGCCGCTCCGCCTGAGGGCCCGAGACCTGTAGTTCTGCCTGGGGGTCCGGCGCCCGCCGCTCCGCCTGGGGGCCCGAGCCTGTCGCCCCGCCCGGGGGCCCGAGGCCCGTCGCCCCGCCCGGGGGCCCGGTGCCCGTCGCCCCGCCCGGGGGCCCGGTGCCCGCCGCCCGCCCGGGGGCCCGGTGCCTGCCGCTCCGCCCGGGGGCCCGGTGCCTGCCGCTCCGCCCGGGGGCCCGGCTGCCTGCCGCTTCGCCTGGTAGCCCGATGTGCCTCTGCCCGGAGTCCTGCCCGATGTGCCTCTGCCCGGAGTCCTGCCCGATGTGCCTCTGCCCGGAGTCCAGCCCGATGTGCCTCTGCCCGGAGTCCAGCCCGATGTGCCTCTGCCCGGAGTCCAGCCCGATGTGCCTCTGCCCGGAGTCCAGCCCGATGTGCCTCTGCCCGGAGTCCAGCCCGATGTGCCTCTGCCCGGAGTCCAGCCCGATGTGCCTCTGCCCGGAGTCCAGCCCGATGTGCCTCTGCCCGGAGTCCAGCCCGATGTGCCTCTGCCCGGAGTCCAGCCCGATGTGCCTCTGCCCGGTGTGCCTCTGCCCGGAGTCCAGCCCGGTGTGCCTCTGCCCGGAGTCCAGCCCGATGTGCTTCTGCCCAGTGTGCCTCTGCCCGGTGTGCCTCTGCCCGGTGTGTGCCTCTGCCCGGAGTCCGCTGCTTGCTACCTGCTGAACCTGGCCTGTGACCCCGACCAATCTCCGCTTGCTCCCCCTGTACCTACCTGCCCTATTGATATTGACCCGGCCTGCCTGACGACGCTTGCTTGTATGTACTGTTATCTGTGGGTGGTTGGTTTGGTTTGGTTGCACTGTATTATGTTTAGTATTGCACTGCGTTTATGTTTGTATTGTTAGTGTTAATAAATTATATTGTTTATAACATATCTGAGGTCTGCGTTTCCCTGCGTCAGCCACACACCTCTGGTCACACCTGGGAGCCCTGACACCTGCACAATGATCTGGAGTCATTTTGGACCACTCCTCTTCACAAAACTGTTTCAGTGTAGCAATATTCTTGGGATGTCTGGTGTGAATCGCTCTCTTAAGGTCATGCCACAGCATTCAATCGGGTTGAGGTCAGGACTCTGACTGGGCCACTCCAGAAGGTGTATTCTGTGCTGTTGCAGCCATTGTTTTGTTGAATGACTTGTATGCTTTGGGTCATTGTCCTGTTGCATCACCCATCCTCTGCGGAGCTTCAGTTGGCGGACAGATGGTCGTACGTTTTCCTGCAAAATGTCTTGATAAACTCTGGAATTCATTTTCCCATCAATGACAACAATCCGTCCAGGCCCTGAGGCAGCAAAGCAGCCCCAAACCATGATGCTCCCTCCGCCATGTTTCACAGTGGGGATGAGGTTTTGATGTTGGTGTGCTGTGCCTTTTTTTCTCCACACATGGTGTTTTGTGTGTTCTTCCCAAACAACTCAATCTTGGTTTCATCTGTCCACAGTATATTTTGCCAGTAGTGCTGTGGAACATCCAGGTGCTCTTTTGCAAACTTCAAACGTGCTGCAATATTCTTTTTGGACAGCAATGGCTTCCTCCGTGGTGTCCTCCCATGTACTCCATTCTTGTTTAATGTTTTCCTTATTGTAGATGTGTCAACAAAAATGTTACCATGTGCCAGAGATTTCTGTAGGTCTTTAGCTGACACTCTGGGCTTCTTCTTTACCTCATGCAGCATTCTGCGCTGTGCTCTTGCAGTCATTTTTACAGGACGACCACGCCTAGGGAGAGTAGCAACAGTGCTAAACTTCCTCCATTTGTAGACAGTCTGTCTTACCGTGGACACATGAACATCAAGGCTTTTGGAGATACTTTTGTAACCCTTTCCAGCTTCATGCAAGTCAACAATTCTTGATCGTAGGTCTTCTGAGAGCTCTTTTCTGTGAGGCATGGTTCACATCAGACAGTGCTTCTTGAAATCAGTAAACCCAAAACAGGTGTGTGTTTTTTAAGAGCAGGACAGCTGTCAGCAACACATCCAATATCATCACACTGATTGGGTCAAGGTTGGCTCACTCCTGGCTCCAATTAGCTCTGGGAGAAGTCATTAAGCTAGGGCCTCACATACTTTTTCCTCCCTGCACTGTGAATGTTTACATGTTATGTGCAAATAAACCATGGCAACATCTAATGTTTGTGTAGTATTACGTTCAGCAGACTGTGTTCTATTGTTGTGACTTCGATGACGTTCAGAGCACATTTTATTCCCAATTCATGCAAAACTCCACGTAATCCCAAGGGGTTCACATACTTTTTCTTGCAACTTTACACTCACCACCAATATAATTTAGACATTTAGCCTATGTTCACATTTGTGTGTGTTGAGAACACATGCAAAGATTGCTTTCCTGACACCACAGAAATGTATTGCCCTTTATCAGATACACAGCAGTGCCATTAATTGTTAATGACACCCTCACGCATCTGTTGACGTTTGCGTTTCCACATGCACCAAAACTCAGGGTGCTGTGGCTTGCTGGGATTTTAAAAAAGGGTTGAGTACTTTATTTCTGCATTTTTAGAACATAGAGCAGCCCATTGAAATGAATGGGCTGCCCTACATGGGACATACATCTTTATCCCCCCCCCCCGTCAGTACACCTTTGCATCTTAAATCTCCCTGCTAACCTCTGCACCCCAAATCTCCCTCTCCTCTTCACTCTAACCTCACCCCCCTCCTTAACTCTACATGCCTCCTCTGCTCCTCATTGCACCCACCTTCCTTACCTCTGTACATCCCCTCCTTACTCACCTGTGCACCCCAAACTGTAATTCTTTTTCTGCCTGCCTCTGCACACAAACACACCCCCACACTTTGCTTACCTTTGTAGAACAGACTCATGTGACCACAATTGCAAGCAAGACTTTTAAGCATGCTCCTGTTTACCACCCCAGTGGGCAGCATTCAGCAGAGGTGATGGTGGCTGGAACCTCAGGGGGGCATAATATACATATGAATGCTGCCAATATTTACATATGATTGCCCATGTTATTTACATATCAATGCAGGTTATTTACATGTGAATGCTGACCCAGTCTGCATGTAAGCCATGGCTATAGGGCAGAGCTGCAGCATAAAGTAACAGCACTTCACACTGAGATTTCGGGACCCAGTGTGGGATGAAGACTTCAAGGGACAATGTAAACTGGAACAGTTGGCAAATATGTGGCAGCTGCTTTGGGCCCTACAACTATGACTAGGCCTATGGCTGCTGCCGCTTTTGCCCCTCCTTAACCACTTGCTGACCGCCCTATAGCAGAAACACTGCTACAGGGCGCAGCGGTGCACAAAATCACATGATTTTGCATTTCCGGTGCGCGCACCCTACCCACGCCGCCATTCGCGGCTGCGGCTGTCACTCACTGGGTCCCGGTCGGTATTTACCCACCGGTGCCCGGTGATTACCGAGCATATCCAATGGGGAGGAAGACTGTTTTGTTTACAAACAGTCTTTTCCCCTCTCAGCTCGGGCACACTCGAGCACAGCACAGCCATCCTGATCAGTGAGCTTATAGTGAAGCACACACCCCCCGCCCCCTAGTAAAATACTCTCTACATATAGTTAACCCTTTGATCACCTCTCATGTTAACCCCTTCCTGCCCAGTGCCATTAGTACAGTTAGTTCCCCCCAGTGTCAGAATGTCCACCACAGTCCCCCTAAAAGTCGCTGACCGCTGCCATTACTACCCAAAAAAAAAAGAAAATTCCAGTATCTCCCCATACATTTGTAAATGCTATAACTTTCACGTAAACCAATTAATTTACACATATTGGGATTTTTTTTTAGCAAAGACATGTAGCAGAATACTTTTTTGCCTAAATTTTACTTGACTTGTTTAATAGCAAAAAGTCCAAAATATTGTGTTTTTCTCAAAATTGTAACAAGAAGTGAGACAACAATATCTGCAAATTAAAGGAATCCCTTCCCCCCCCCAATTTACTAGAATTAGTGTCCCCATTGGAAGATTTCCCTCGATCAACAGGGATTTTCTTTTACTACGCTTTCAGTGATGATCGATTGTAAACAGGACAAATAGGCAGGGGGAATTTCCCTAAAGCGGCACGGACAGAAATAAATACCTAACAGGTGTTCTTTATTCATGTTTCTTCCTCGTATACATTAGCATCACATTCTATGAACAAAAAACAAACAGTACTTCAGCACCCGCCCCCCCACAAAAAAAGAGGAAAAAAATATAACAGAACACAATAATTAATACTCCTC